AGGGCATCTGTCCTTATCATATGCTCACACCATGTCAGCTGACTATATTTGCTATGAATGATCATCAGTACAGCTCGAGTTCTGAGCTCCTCATGCTAGCTTTAATTCAATGAAAATAAATTTAATGTTTTTCATAAAGCACCGATTTACAACACAAGTAAACTCAGAGCAAATCACATAATAAGGTCAAGGCCAAAAATGACCAAGGACTTAGCGACAGCCTTTAAGGGTGAATCCAATTACCCCTCAAAGGAAACTCATTTGCATCTGTGATCTTATTCTCTAGCCCAGTTCTCACAGCTCATAGCTGTAGATGAAAGTTAGGGAATCAACTGGAATATTCAGAGCTTTGCCTTTAAAGGCAGCCTCTTCATTAATAAAGACTGATACAGAGTCTGCAACACAATTAATGTGACACCAATTAGTCAGCCTTGTGTTCCGTTACGCTGTGTGATGAACACAACAACAAGACACTTGAACTCCTTCACTTGGGGTTGTGACTCAATTCCAATCCCAAAACTGAAAATAATTTTCCTGTAGACGACCATGACGCTTGGTTCACAGGTCAGTCAGTTAAAGTCCTGTCACATCCCCAGCAAATGAATGCTAATTATTAAAAGAGAGCTGGTCCTTCTCCTTCATCTGTCAGGCCAGCTTTCACCATCAACGCAGCAGACACATGGAGGACCCTAGCCAAGGTTAACCCACAAAAAGCGACAGGACCGGACAACATCCTGGGATGTGTGCTCAGAGTCTGCGCTGACGAGCTGGCAGATGTGCTGACTGACATTTTCAACATCTCCCTCAGTCAGGCCATTGTCCCAGATGCTTCAAAACATCCACCATAGCTCCAGTGGCAAAGAGATCAGCTGTAGCCTGTCTGAATAACTATCACCCCGTTGCTCTGACACCGATCATGATGAAGTGTTGTGAACGGCTCGTCAGACCCACATCACAGCCAGCCTTCCTGCATCACTGGACCACCTTCAGTTCGCTTACCGTCCCAACTGCTCCACAGAGGATGAATATCCACCACCTTGCACTCAGTCATCACCCACCTGGACAATAAAGACACCTACACTAGAATCCTGTACACTGAGTTCCGCTCAGCGTTTAATACCATCACCCCCCAGAGACTATAGAGAAACTCCTCCTACTGGCCTGGATACCACCACATGTCTCTGGGTCCTGGACTTTCTGACTGAAAGACCCCAGTCTGTCCGAGTCGAACAGAACATCTCCAACTCCATCACGCTGAGCACTGGATCTCCTCAAGGCTGTGTATTCAGTCCACTGTTGTTCACACTGCTAACACAGGACTGTGCAGCCACACATGAGGGGATCCAGACCATCACGTTGCTGATGACACCACAGTCGTGGGAACAAAGAACCGATGTACAAAGATGAAGTGAAACACCAGAGGGCTGGTGCAGCAACAACAACCTGCTGCTCAACGTGGACAAAACGAAAGAGATGATCATCGACTTCAGAGGTCACGTCCTGAGCATGCTCCCCTCAGCATCAGTGGCTACACAGTGGAGAGATTGGAGAACATCAAGTTCCTCAGAGTGCAGATCTCCAGGACCTGAGCTGGAATAAGAACACCACAGCGATCATCAGACGGTCCCAGCAGAGACTGTATTTCCTGAGGAAGCTGAAACCAGCCTCTCTCCCTGCCAGCGTCCTCAGGACTTTCTACAGAGGTGTGGTGGAGAGCGTTCTGACATCCTGCATCTCCACATGGTCCTCCAGCTGCAGTCTGTCAGACAGAAAAGCCCTGCAGAGGATAGCTAGAGGAGCTGAGAGGGGCATCGGAGTTTCCCTCACCTCTGTCCAAGAACTTCTCCAGAGCCGCTGCAGGACACTGAACATTGTCAGGGACTCCTCACACCCTCTCCATAAACTGTTTGAACTGCGTTTCTGGAGCATTAAAGGAAGAACCTCCAGAATGATCAACAGCTTCATTCCACCAGCTGTCAGAATGCTGAACTGCTGATCCAGATATGCAAACACTTCTTTATTTAATTGCTTTCAGTTATTGGATCCTAAAGAAACACTCTCTCATCCTGCCTGTACTGCTGTGTATGTACAGCAAAATGACAATAAACCTGATTTGATTTGATCTGATTTGAATTGATGTTGCTTGTAACTCAAGAAACTGTCTTCTGGCCCTATCTTTCTAAAGCACCGCTTCCAAAAAAAAAAAAAAAACCGACACCACCACACTGGTTCATGTGGAGTTA